TGCATCACTGCATCTCTCACTGCATCTCTCACTGCTTCTCTCACTGCACCTCTCACTGCATCACTGCATCTCTCACTGCACCTCTCACTGCATCACTGCATCTCTCACCACATCACTGCATCTCTCACTGCTTCTCTCACTGCATCTCTCACCGCACCTCTCACTGCATCACTGCATCTCTCACTGCATCACTGCATGTCTCACTGCATCTCTCACTGCACCTCTCACTGCATCTCTCACTGCATCTCTCACTGCACCTCTCACTGCATCTCCTTGCTCCTGCATCTCTCACTGGGCCTGCTCTTCTGCCTGGGCCCCTTGCTCTTACTCTTTCTCGTCCAGACATTACAGTGTTTGTCTTTTCCTGTTTCCAAAAACATTACTCTTTACTTTAAAGGCCTCCTTTTACTGTATAAGTGTCAATAATAGGAAAAAATAACCCCGCCACTGAATCTAAGCCAGACTGAAAACAGCTGTGGTTGGCCCAATTTACCCAACATAAATAAGCTGTGGGTCAATCATTCAATTGTTTGTTTATTATCAGCTGAGATATATTGTTTTTGAACTGATATCATTGCAGAAGCAGATGTTTTTATACTGTATCTAAGGTTTGGAATATTGTTTTTGCTATTTTGGGATGGTGTGTGTTAACATTTGAAAATACTACAAAAACAATCCATAATTTTGTTGGTATAGCTTGTCTGTTAAGAAAATGTAAGCATTGTGGAAATGTGTTCACTGACTGCATATTGTGTGAAAACAACATGAAATGTGTGAATGGTATGGCCACAAAAGATCAATGTTGTGCTAATTGTGTTTAGAGTTTTGAAAATGTGACAACTGTTTGGACAAATGCTTGTTAGCGACTGAAAAAAACTGTAAATTACACAGGGAGCATTCAACAAGACTCAAATTTAACAATTTAACTCACCTCTCAGCTGCTTGCTGACCAGGGGCTGAGCCACTACGCTTCCGAGAAGCTCTCCAAGGACCTGCCAAGATCTTTTTCTTGCACTTAAGGGAATACTTGGAGGGGGACTGATCAATGGGATGCAAATTCTGATACAACCGCAAGATCTCTGCTATCTCGTTGGTTGATAAACCAGTGATCGTGCGGTTGAGACTGACGAGGTACCCTGCCAGGTTATCCACTGCCTCCCATCCAGGAACACCCCTTGAATCACTTCTACTGTCCTGAAAATGGAAACAAAAACAGAATCGTGCATTATGAAATAATTTATTAACAGCTCTTTAATAAACCATTCTTCACAAATTACAAGCACCAAGTATTACAAACTTTACCGGAGCTGGTGTGCTCGGCCCAGCAAAGGAAATGTCTTCAGTATCAGGAGGACTGTACACGGTTTCCTAGATTATTTTAAAACATTTTTAAAAGAAGAATAAACTTCAGTTACAAAACTGACAATTCAAAGTTTATGCTAAACAACAACAACAACAAAAAGGTTTAGCTTTAGTTTTATCTAAAAAAGTTTTATCATTAGTTTTTCTTTCAGTCGCTAACAAGAGTTTGTCCAATCAGTTGTAACATGGGTATTTTGTTCACTGTAAGCAATACTGTAAAACATTTTCTGTTCTACAAACTTTACCGGAGCTGGTGTGTTCGGCCCAGCACAGGAAATGTCTTCAGTATCAGGAGGACTGTACACGGTTTCCTAGATTATTTTAAAACATTTTTAAAAGAAGAATAAACTTCAGTTACAAAACTGACAATTCAAAGTTTACGCTAAACAACAACAACAACAAAAAGGTTTAGCTTTAGTTTTATCTAAAAAAGTTTTATCATTAGTTTTTCTTTCAGTCGCTAACAAGAGTTTGTCCAATCAGTTGTAACATGGGTATTTTGTTCACTGTAAGCAATACTGTAAAACATTTTCTGTTCTATCATGTGAACATTACTGTATATGTGGACATACAGTTTCCAGTCAAGAAATTTAGTGTAAAAATGGTGGATTGCATATTTTTCATGCAAATACCTGTAAAACGGAAACATCAAAGTCTATGCAGTTTTTGTAATGTCAACAATAGCCAGTATTTTGAAACCTGGTGTACTTTGATTGACTGCATGTACCTTGTGAAGCGAAAACAAGCGTTATTCGTTGACAGAATCATTTCAGTTTGAGTAAGATTTCTAGTGTTTTGGTAAAGTTAGATGTGTTCTATTTTGAAATATAGTTAGTGTATATTTAACAAAATGTGTTTTTGAGAAGAAAATTATCCATTCGGCCAATTGTGTTTTGTAGGTGTGAGTCTGTGTTAAGAGTTTAATAAAAGTATCAGAAGTATGGCAGTGCACTTGTTAGTGATTAAAAAAGCTCTAATTAAAAAAAGTATAAATCATGAAGCAACTCATTAGTTGCTACTAAAAACTAACATTTCTATGCAATTTTAATTTAAAATGATCAAGAAAATTGACATTACCAGAGGTGAGATCAATGAATCACCATGACTGCTGGAAATTCCAAGGGTGGGTGTGTCTAAATCAATGTCTGCTGCATCACATATTGTGACATCCAGACACTCATCCTCCTGAACTTCAACCTGCAACTCTGGCAAGGGGATTTCATGTTGCTCCAGTGGAGAAAGCAGGTCTCCTCTGTTAGACTGGGCCAGCAAATACTCCACAGCTATACGTTCATCTGCCATAAAAATTCAATAAACATATTGAAAAAAAGAGCTATATATCAGGCTAAAGCAGAAAAGCATGTGATGAAACTAGTGTTGCTAACAAATAATACATTTTTGGATTAACACATGACAAATGCAATTAAATAAAAGCCAAAATCACAAAGGAATTTCACAAACTGACACATCTTATAACTACAAATGGGCACCTTTATAGCAATCATCAGTCATGCAAACATGGAATCACTATTGCAATAGAGGGTACAATGTTGAATATTACCGGTGGGTCTCCCAGGAGGTTTGAATTCTGGCAGGAGTGGACATCCAAGGACTTTGTTGCTGAGGACATTCATCTGGGACATTAAACGTACATTATACATTTTTGTTTGTGATGTACCACTCATGTCCACAGCTTGATGAGCTCGGTTGATGTTCCACCTAGATGCCCCCTCAAGCATGTACATCTGTGTATGAAGTGCATTACATCTCCACCCTGAAAAACAATGTTTCACATGATTAAAACACTATTATATAACCCCAACTTTTGGATCCAATAGACCTTATTCAGAGCAGCACCATGACAGGTATGAAAGTGAGGCTGTGAAAGATACCGTGTTTCCAATGGCATCCGCTGTAAAAAGCTGAATAAAGCGGCTAGATTACTTAAAATTTTCCACAGCTTACATTGTCGGGAGTTTTTTTTTTGTCAACTGACATTTCTTGGAAAGATATTTTTCCAGTGTTTCATGAGCAGAACAATCCGAAAACACATTAAATAACAGTACAGCCCATTGAAGAGATGCAAGTCTATCCCTCACAGCCTCGCTTTCATTCTCATTAAAACACAAAGATGGCGCTGCCGTGAATAAGGCGTTTCCAACACTATTTAAATATACACATGGTATTGTCTTATAATGTAAATTTACCTGGAATAAAAGTGCACTGGTGGCGATGGAAGCTTTCCAGGGAGGAGGACCCTCTGCCACACCTCAGCACATCCAGAACCTTGTCACCCTTCTGTAAACCGGAGCCCAGTTTTGTGTACAGCTGAACACCGGGTGGATCTTGGATGCAAGGTAAGTGTTTCTGCTGTACCTCCCACACGTGTGACATGCTCTCTGGATTGATGAGGCGCAAACCAGTGGTGTCGGTCAGTTCCCACATGGAGTCCAGCAGTCCTTGGATCAGGTCACAAGTTTCTTGAACTCCACGTGTCCTCCTCCTGCAGTGCTTGGCCAGCTCGTTGGAGGTGATGCTCGACAGGATTTGGGCCTCTGTTGGAATATGACCCCTATTTTTTTTTAAAAGAATGGTCTTTTTCGCCTCTTTAAGGCGAGAGATGTCCTCCTTGTCCCATTCAAACACACAGGTGGACAACTTTGAGCAGAAAGTGCCATACAATGGATGGTGCTCCGTTGTAAGGCCAGCTGTGAACCGCCGCATGAAGTGGAAAACATCGAGTCGCACAGTGATCTTCCATGGGCGAAACCAGGTCAGAACTGGAGTCACACCTACACCAGGGAGAAACAATGCGTGTATTTTTTGCGAATTTTTAGTGATTTGCATCATTAAACAAATATAATAATGCTGTTTTACATAAGCTTTTGTTTACTTGATTGCAAACACTGAACCAAGGTTCTCACAGTAAATTGCTACTGTAAATAGAAATTAAGAAATTTATAACCATTGTGTATATATTAGGGGTGTGCAAAGCAGCCGGTATTTGTATGTGAGTAAGGCCACGCCCCCTTGTCGGGTTCTGATGTGTAATGACGTAGGGCTAGCCCATTTGGTTGCACATAAGAGGCACCCGCGCCATTGGATATGCAGTTGCCACAGCATATACATTACTCTTGTAAATAGTTCTTACAATTCTCTTTATGAGTGTTCTTAAAAAATATGAACAAACACATAGAAAAAGCATGTAAAGTCTCTGTCCAATAATAGTTGGAACCGTGCAGATCTGTGATTTATTCTCATTCAGAAAAATGCCTGAAATTGTTGCTAATATGAATTAGAAATGCATGGATGCAAACACATTCATATTAGGTAAAGATTTAATGTAACAAACCTGTCTCGCTGCAGCAGTCCCTGTCAACGTAGATCACAGCTGGCTCTGGCTCCCCAGCATCCTTGTATCTCTTTACGATGCCCTGACACAAGTCATCTATGCCAGCTCCTTCACCAGTGGTTAAGACACAGTTCAGGACTTGGCCAAACTCATTGCCAACATTGGTCATCCATGTAGCAGTATCCGCGATGCCACCAGCAAGCTTTTTAGTTATCTATTTAAATACACAAACATTATAATCAGAAAAATCACATAACATACAGCTGATTTGCCTCTTTTTATATATATTTACCTTCTTGGTAGAATCAAGCTTCAGGATGCTACCATATGTCGATGTTATGACACCCTTCAGCTCATCAATGTGACACAGGATCTCATTGGCATGAACAGTCTCAAACCACTGGGCCAGAGGTAGGGGGCAAAAAGGTGGTGGCTGCTGATAAATCACTTCAGTTTGTGTCAGGGCGGATCTCTTTTTATGTAACTCACAGTCCGTCAGATAATCTATGGTCCGTCTTCCCCACTCCTCGCTGTGAATTTCTTCAAGTGCCTGCTGCAAGAAACTAGAGCTGTTCCCTGCAGTTCTGGGCTTCAACAAAGTCACACACTTCCTGTCAAGTGCAAGGTGAGTGGTGAGAACAGCAGGGAATTTGTTTCTGTGGGAGGGATCAAGTTGTTTGAGGATCTCCGAACTCCAAGGGCAGACAGGTATCATACACTTGCTGCAGCGAGGGTAGTCTACTCCAATTAAATAATATCTACAATCAATATCAATGACTTCCCTCACTTTGGTGTAGATTCCTGAATGGTGCATCTTTCTATCGCACTGTGTGCACTTCAGAGGAATACCCCACATTCTCATTGGGCCCCACAGAAACATCCGCTGTCTGAAGTAAGTGTTAGGATCAGGAGGTGAAGTAGTAGGCTTGCTGGGACTAGGTGGATGAAACCAGTTTTTAAAAAACTGCTGCTTTAGTCGTCCTGTACTGTCATATAGACACTGGGCTATCCACTTTTGGTCTGCTGGCTTAATAACACGACAGAACTGTTTGGGGAGAAAACTCACCCAATTCACTTCTGGAGGCCTCAGGTTAATGTCCAGGGATGGTGTTTGAGGTGCAGTTTGTGGAGTGTTTTGCTGCTCTTCAATGTATGCGGGTGGTTCAGTAAAGGATGTTGGTGGAAAAGATGTTGGTGGATCCAAAGATTCTGTGCCTGCAAGACTAGTGCAATGGTGATTGGTTTCAATGTGGTGAAGAAGTCCAACCGCACCCCAGACTTTTTCACCACACTGGTCACAAGATTCTTGAACATGGTAGTCCGACAAATGTTCAGTGAAACACTCCACATCAACTTCTTTACTACAAAGACCACACTTAAGTGAAGAACTGCTCTGTGGGACTGATCTTGAGCCTGCACTGCTCAGTGTTCCTGCCTGCATGCCTGCACTGCTTGTTGGTCTTGCCAGGGCACCTGCATTGCTTGCTGGTCTTGCATGGGCACCTGCACTGCTCAGTGGTCCTGCCTGCATGCCTGGACTACTCAGTGGTCTTGCCTGGGCGCCTGTGCTGGTTGCTGGTCTTGCCTGCATGCCTGCACTGCTCAGTGGTCTTGCCTGGGCGCCTGCATTGCTTGCTGGTCTTGCATGGGCACCTGCACTGCTCAGTGGTCCTGCCTGCATGCCTGCACTACTCAGTGGTCTTGCCTGGGCGCCTGTGCTGGTTGCTGGTCTTGCCTGCATGCCTGCACTGCTCAGTGGTCTTGCCTGGGCGCCTGTGCTGGTTGATGGTCTTGCCTGCATGCCTGCACTGCTCAGTGGTCTTGCCTGGGCGCCTGTGCTGGTTGATGGTCTTGCCTGCATGCCTGCACTGCTCAGTGGTCCTGCCTGCATGCCTGCACTACTCAGTGGTCTTGCCTGGGCGCCTGTGCTGGTTGCTGGTCTTGCCTGCATGCCTGCACTACTCAGTGGTCCTGCCTGGACGCCTGCGCTGGTTGCTGGTCTTGCCTGCATGCCTGCACTACTCAGTGGTCCTGCCTGGACGCCTGCGCTGGTTGCTGGTCTTGCCTGCATGCCTGCACTGCTCAGTGGTCCTGCCTGGGCGCCTGCCACTGTCTGCTCCGCTGACTGTAAAACAAGCATTAGTGTTTTCCCTAGGTCTCAAAATCTGCAAATTATCACAATCAAAACTTTGCGGAAAACTCTGTTGTACACAATTACTACATGCCATCTGTCATCTGATTCATAGGGCTTAAAGGAAAGTAATAATTTAGTGTAGTTGTAAAAACACCCACCTTCAGGTCTTAGTGCAGGTATCTTTTTACTGTGAGTTAAATTGAAATTTATATGCATTTTATGCAAGTAGTCTGTTATACCATTATAAAGACCTTCACCGATTTACATTAAAAGCTAAGATATTAATCTAGTGTACTGACAGCATCTGCTTTAAATTGAACAGCTTTGCTCAGTTTGTGCATATATGCCTTTTTCTGACTATTATTTATACTGCATCTTATCTCTGCAATCTTCAGGGTTAGGCCACGTTTTCAATAACATGTCAGGCTTTACAACTCAAACAATAAAATTATTCTGTTTTAAAATTAGTAATGATCACCAGCATAGGTAAAATAATCACATTTATCATTACATACCTTATGATAACCACATTTGCAAGTGATTATTTTCCCAAATATATCATAGGCACGGGTCTGTTTGTGTAATGGACAGTTATTAATTCTGTCCAAGGCATCTTTCCACTTCTTCGCCCCTGGCTTCTTGCCTGTTGAGAAGTGGTACTTCCCTTGGGCATACTTGCACATGATGTCATGCCAATATGAATCAGGTTTACCAGTCTTAGTCATGTCTATAAGTATGAAACAACAACAACAGGGTAAATACCAGACAACTTGAGAACAACTTAAGAGAGATACAATTGAAGTGAAATTTAAAGAATTAAAAAAAAAATAGTAATAATAATTAAAGACAATTTTTATTTAGACGAGGGATTTGACACTTGGATGATTTTTGACTTATTTAATACATGGATGGTTGTCAAATTACGTAAGTTATATATTTTCAAAATTGTATTATGTTAAAATACTATGTTTTAACTGTCAAATAGAATGAATAAAAACATTACACTAAATTCAAATGATTAAAATAATAACATATTATCCCTTACCTGGTAACACTTTATAATAACTGCACGCTATTTATCATTAGTTAAGCATGAGTAAACAGTTAATTCATCATTTAGAAAACATTAATAGACATTAGTAACTAAGCAGTTTCAACAATACTTCTTCAGCATTTATTAATCTTTGTTAATGTTAATTTCAACATTTACTAATACTTTTTAAAAATCTTGTTAACATTAGTTAATGCACTGTGAACTAACATGAACAACAATGAACAGCTAGATTTGTATTAACTAACGTTAACAAAGTGTAACAAATACAGTAACAAATGGTTAGTTTATGTTAGTTAATACATTAACTAATGTTTAATAAATAAACCTTATTGTAAAGTGTTACCAATGTAACAAACACAACGATACAGAACATAGAAATATTTACAGCCTTTAAATCTCATTTATAAATGCTTTACAAGGCATGAATAGTCCTCACTTTAGATGAGCTCACACACATAGTTAACCGACCACAACTAAATGCTTTATAACTATCCGAATTAACCCAGAATTACAGCATTAATACATGTTAATGAAGCCTTTATTAACACACTAAGCAATTTTCACTATATGTCTGAATAATAAGATGTATGAATGTACATATAAATAGTTTATTAATCATTTACTTACACTTTCTAAGTGATCTTATGAATGACTGACAACTCTTAAATAACTGGTTCATAAAAAATGCAATTCTTCATTTAGAAATGATAAATTGATCATTAATAAAGGATGAAAATACATTAATTAGACAAATTATAGATATGTTTTTAAATCAAGAAGAAAGCGTTTATAGCTGTATTTATAAACTGCTTAATGTCTATTAATGCTTTATGAATGATGAATTAACTGTTTACTCATACTTAACTAATGATTATTAGCGTGTAGTTATTAAAAAGTGTTACCATACAGCCTATTGATACAAAACAAGTCACCACTCTGTATTTTAACATTAATCATCATATTTATTATCATCATCGTTTATATTCTACGCTTTGCGATTAGAATGGCCACCTCGATTTAACGTTATATCACTGTTATATCCAACCATGGCCTCCGAACTCAATAAAAGTGTTACAACAACGAACGTACTGCTTCTCTTTCACGTTATATGTGAAATAAACTGTACTCACCTGTATCAAAATACAAAACCGTGTCGTACTTCCTTCTCGATTAAACTATATTTGGCTTCATCAAAAAACAAGTGATGGGGGTATGACGAGTTTTTCTCCCGCCGGCCCTCTGTGTGACGATAGAAGTCACGTGACTATGTTTCGGCCAATGACTGTTTTGCCCCGTCCAGCCAACCGTTGAGTGCGGTTCGGAATTGTTAGGACCTGTCAGGACCTGTGTTAGGAATTGTTAGGACCTGTGTTAGGAATTGTTAGGACCTGTTAGGATTGTTAGGACTTGTGTTAGGAATTGTTAGGACTTGATTAGATTGTGTTAGGACTTGTAACAAATGGTTAGGAATAGTTTAGGCTGTCCGATCGCTGGAGGGTACGGCCATCGCAGCGCCCGGAAATAAGCTCCATAACTACATGTTTTGGTCTTTTATTTATATTTTATATTGTAACTACTTGGAGAAATTAATTAAAATGACTTTATTAAAATTGCACAGGCCCCGTGCAGATTAAAACGTAACACAACCTAGTTTAAACTAGCCTTTACTAACCAAATAGCAAGCCGATGTTAATCTCTTTTTTGTCGATTAACTATTTTCACATCGATCATAAAAAAAAAATTTGTATCGTTTGCATTTGGAGTTAATTAATTTACGCAATAAATCGTACCGTGAATCGATGCCTAGGACAAACGCGGCTTCATCGGACCTCCAGCAAACCGTCACAGGCTATTGGTCTGGCCTACTTTCTCGTTTTATCAAAAGGACATCACATGATAGTTTTGGTTGCCAAATGACCTCCCCCATTATTTTTTTGTGTGTGTGTGTGAAATTAATCAATTAATAAGCATGCTTGTTTCCATACAATAAACTACTCTTGTAATAAATAACTGTCTGGTTAAATTAAACAGTTTCTATAAACGATTGAAATTTCTCAGACAGGCACGTCTAAAAATTACGAACGCACGTCATGGAAACTTGGTGGTCTAATTCTAATACATGGTCTTACAGCGCGGCCTACTGACTGACTGATGAGGTCGAAACCTAGGAGACGTTTGGCTTTTATCCAGCTTTTAACTGCGTCGACTTGTAAAACCCACTTTAGCATCTTAATTTCTTCTTTAGAAGAGTGGATCTACCCTTATTAGACTATCCTTATTTAATTTAATTAAGTTTTAATGTGTCTTTTATGACCATGCAACTTTAAAACACAAACACTTATCTTCTTAAGCAGCTTTTACAAAATGCCAGCAATTGTGCAGGAACGTGTTGCGATTTGAATGGAACGTTACACATTTATTTGAGCTATTTCGGTAACACATACAAATAATATTAGGCTAGAATGAAATTGAGAACAATAGGCTACACTGTTACAGTTTTTGTGAAAGAAAGTTTGGCAAGTGTGATTGCGGAAAGTGTTTTTTTTTTTTTTTGCTATTGCAAGAAGTAAAGGCTGCTATGTGTAATTGTAAGTACTGTAGATTAGCCTATAGGTTTTTCGTGCAGTGTAGAACAATTAAAACGTTGCATACATGGATGTTTCAGCCAACGTCCAGAAGGTGGAGGTATTTCACAGAAATAATGTCATAATCTACACATAAGAAATAAAGTCATTTTAGTGACTTTAGTCACACGTAGTGAGGCTAAGTGTTGTCTACTATAATCAATTTACTCTGTATTGAATAATTAGAGTTCCACCATTGTCTGTCACCACACATAACTAATAATAGCAACTCGCCTCACAAACAAATTATCAAGTTTGTTATAGGAGTGTCTGATATATCTTGCTATATGTGTCTCTGAACTGATGACCTTGAATCAGCACCTACAATGTCCGAACGATATAAATAACATTTCTGTTCCTTTCCATGATATTAAGTGATTCATATTAAGAAACGATCTCATGCTTTTTCCATAGGACTATTATGCTTGCTGTAAAGATTTTCTCAGAAAGGTAACACCAGGATAGACATAATATAGTGTCGATAATGTTGGGAACAGAGAAAAGTCCCATAGCAATTACACACCAAATCACATTCTCTATAGAAAATGTATCAATCAAGAATAAAAGTGATGATACAGCACAGTAGCTAGAGAATCAAATAATAAATGATAGAGTGTGTCAGAATTTGACCAGGTTGAGTCAATAATAACATGGTCAGCAGCAACATGCCACATAGGATCCATGACTTAAGTGTTCAAGAAAGTCAAAAGGCTAAACCGCACCCAATATCATACAAAGTGGCTTAGCCAAGGAGACCTCAATGTACAAAGATCAATGCACTCTTCCCACATTTCACAAGTACATTGTTTAGTTTTGTTGCTGGCAACCACATATGTCATAACCACATGCAATGCCAATATAACATTTACAACCTTTTACACATGGCTATATTCCAGAATCTAAAAATCAGACGTGGTTCTTGAAATGAAGACACGCACTGGACAACGGCCATCAACAAACAACCAATTTCCATAACACTCATTCAAATTTATGAAAACCATCATCTGCAGCATTTTAAAGGGATAGTTCACTTTGAAATTAAATTTTGATATGTTTTAGCTTACCTCAAAGGCATTCAAGATGTCGGTGTCTTTGTTTCCACAGTATTTTCAATTTTGACATTTTTCTGTCAAACCGTTCTTGTCTATCAGTCATACACTGGAGGCTAAGGAGGTCCACCAAAAAGCATGCACAGAGAAGTCAAAATTAAACATGATTTAATGACTCGTAAATGTAAGTACACATTGATGGCCTAAGACACGAAACGAGCGGTTTGTGTGAGAAAACGTACAGTATTTATATCGTTTTTACCTCGTGTATTCACAGTGACGTCCAAGTGATCTGAATCAGTTGTGCAATGTCCAACTGAACCAAACCGAACTGAATCAGTTCAATGTTACGCCGGAAGTGATCGCTTGCGTGTGACGTCACTCAATATTTACACTGAGATTTCGGAAGTTTTACCTTTTTCTAAACATATTTAGATATACCAAAATCGTCTTCCATTGCGGTTTCCCGTATATCTAAATATGTTTAGTGAAAGGTAAAACTTCCGAAATCTGTATAAACAAAGAGTGACGTAGGCGCACAAGTGATCACTTCCGGCGCATGCGCAGACCAAAGCGTCCGTGCCGTCAGATCATTTTGTCATGGCTATGATTACAAGAGGTAAAAACGATATAAATACTGTTAGTTTTCTCACACAAACCGCTCGTTTCGTGCCTTAGGCCATCAATGTGTACTTACATTTACGAGTCATTAAATCATGTTTAATTTTGACTTCTCTGTGCATGCTTTTTGATGGACCCCCTTAGGCTCCAGTGTATGACTGATAGACAGCAACGGTTTGACTGAAAAATGTCAAAATTGAAAATACTGTGGAAACAAAGACACCTACATCTTGGATGCCCTTGAGGTGAGCTAAAACATATCAAAAATGAATTTCAAAGTGAACTGTCCCTTTAAAGCACGTTAAAGACTGTTCTTTCTCAGACAACTAAGAACATTTGAAGTCAGTCAGCACCACTTTGTTTTTTTATTTCTTCAA